GAGTGCTAATCCACCTCACATGAATCTCTAGGAAATTTGTCAGGTACTCATTTGTACTCCTGGGTGAAGACTGGAACTGTCAGAACAGGTGTCTTGTTCAAGAACACAACACAATGATCCTGACTAAAGCCTTAACCTGGACTGTTGACCCAGAGTTCAACAGGCTGAGCATTAAACTAGCCCACAGCTGTCTTTCCAAGAGCTCAAATTTTCCATCAATAGACTTTCCCAAACGAGAATCGAGGAACTGCATGTACAAACCTTTGATGGAATAGAAGCGACTGGATCTCTCTGTCCTTCAAACTGGCCAACCTCTATGATAGAATCCCAGTCCTCTTTTGTCAAGTCATACTCCTCCATCACTTTCATAACCCTGGACACCCCAGAACTGATTTCGTCTGATTCCTACCAAGATAAAATATTTAATACCTGTCAACAACGTGGTCACTCAGAGGATGATCAATAGCTGTGCAATGTTGTTTCGAGTAAGTAAAGTTAGCCAGTTGCAGTTTAAAGGGGCTACACTGTAACACTGAGCATGCATAACTTTGACTAAAGAGAATTTAAAGATATGGGTTTGAGAACAAAGTCCTTCAGACTAAGAAATACAGTGTAAGCATTGCAACTTCACTTCAAAATGCAAAAATAATGGATTTCGAGGAACGAATTTAATGCAAACAACCTCCACCTACATGTATGAATTTATTAATAAGAGAGAAGTTGTGCTCCTCCCCTCCCAATCACCACCACCATATCCAGGCAGGATACATGTATTTTAACCTTGGTTAAATTTTCTGCGCAAATGCCACACTCTTAGTCATTGAATTTGTGACGACTAAAACAGTCACTGGACGTGACGTCAGGGGCTTAAATTTGCCATCATGGGTAAAGAATTTCTTGATCCTTCACCTTCCTCAGTCCCTCTGCTTTAACCGTGACAGTTGCAGAAATAAATTAATTACATTACTTTATTGGACATTCCATTGGCACAAGAATCACACTTTGATTTATAACCTGCTTCACCTTCATTGGGCTATTTTTACAGGTTCTTTCTGGTCTCTTGAATTRCTGTTTTCAAACAAGTCTGTGGTTTTATACCATTGCAAGATTCAAGCTACACCAATGTTAAACATGTCAGTGTGACAATCGTACCTGAGTCATAAGGGGTCTAGTGAGAACTTTCCTGAGATGAGGAATGTAATCCAAATTCATAGACAACTTGCTTGAAGATGTGCTGTTAGAGAAAAAAGAGCATCGATACACACTGTGCATGTATGTAGAACAAAGAATTAGGCAGTAAAGTTTGCCTAATTTCTTTATATTTGTCTTTATTCCTAATAATTTTATATCTGTATCTGTATATAAACCAGTTCAAGAATAGATGACATGTAACAGTGTGCATTTTGATGATGAGTGAAGGCTATTTTCCTCTTTTAATCTCTCAGAAATTGGCAGCAGTCTTTGGAACGTTTTGGAAATTAATCAGAAAGATCAAAATTTAATGACCTCCCTGAAGATAATCCTTGCAAAGTTTTGAATAATCTTCAGAAATCTTCAGAAAATGTTCATCAACCTTTGTAGAATTGCAGATGAAGTCTTCTTATTCAAAGTTATTCAAATAAGCAACAAAATAACACATGGTTGCCTGGAAATAATTAATGACAGAAGTTTCTCTCCTTATGTTTAATTTTATATCAAATTAAACACTCAAGGAGAAATTCAGTATCTCGATGCTCCCATTATTTTCTCTTTTTATCCTTACCTTAATCTCATGTGACTCTGAAGCTCTTGCAGAATGCGGTCAAGTCTACCATATTTGGAATTTTTACCAAGCCACTGAGGAAATTCGATCCTCTGACCCATTCCCCCACTTATCAGATCAGATGGGATCACACATGACATCATTGCCTGAAAATT